GCTCGCGGCGGGGGCGGGGGCGGGTCACTCACCTGCGCTCCCTGGCGGGCGGCGCTCCCTCCCCTCTTCGCCGAGGCCGCGGGCCAGGCCTCCCGCGAGCGCTAGGAGAGGATCGCGCGAGACTTCGCTTGGGCACGTCCGTGTCCTGACTCCGCCTACTCCCGCCCTTCGGCCACGCCCCCTCGCGCTGGCTCCTGCTGCGAGTCTCCAGGCAATAGCCACAGCGCGTGGCTCCAGCCTTGTCCCCCCCCAGCCTGTGCAGCCCCCATTCCCGGACTAGGTCCAGGGCCGCCTGCCCTCGCCCCCGTCGTAGGGCCCAGTACTTTGCCTTCTCTTCCCTGGCTGAACTGGCTCCAGCCTTGTCCCCCCCCAGCCTGTGCAGCCCCCATTCCCGGACTAGGTCCAGGGCCGCCTGCCCTCGCCCCCGTCGTAGGGCCCAGTACTTTGCCTTCTCTTCCCTGGCTGAACTTCTCCCACACTTAGGGGTCAGTGTTTCCTCTGTTTTTTTCCATCCATGTGTGGAATGCATTTTATGTGCACCAAGACTTGTGAGGATGTGCACCAGCAGGAGAAACACAGGCTAGCGGCTGTGGGAACTGTGGGTGGTCTGCTAATCCGCTGGTCAGCACCTGAATCTCTTCTCCCTGCAGCTGCTCAAGTGCACAGCTCACAGGGAACTCCCCACCAGATGGATGCCATAATTCAGTCTCCTGCAAGCTCTGTGCTGTTGCTCATCTCTGATGCTGGGAACTCTTGGTAAGGTGTGCCATGTACTCTGAGGTCTGTTCACCAGACTGGCCACACAGGAAATAAAATTAAAATTTTCCCAGGATTTTTTCCAGTTCACTTAGGAAGCAGCGGAGTTGAAAGTCCTGATTGGAGCAGTCACTGCAGGGCACTATGCAGCACCTCCCAGAGGCCAAGAACTTCGAATTTCTCTGCACTGCAGTTGCACTACTGTAAAGTGAACCATGCAAGGTTGAGTTGAGTGTTACACCTGTGAAAGCAAGAGTACTGAAATCTATTTTAGCAATCTTTAAAGTCAATGGAATGGGCTTTTGGAGTGGTCTCATTGTTAGAAATTCAACCTAATGCAATTAAACTCGACCTAAACTCCCAATGTTGATGAGGTCTGAGTAAAATGAGTTATGATGAACCAGAGAAGTTAATAGGTACAGCAAAAAAGATATTCTCTTAAGGGCCAATTGAACAATTTTGTGAATCATTAGTAAAGTTATTCTTGGGTAGCATCTCCTAAATTTTTTTCTCCCTTTCATCTTCCTATCTTCATTTTCCCTCATACTCAAGATAGAAAATGGACAATAGACATTCACTCTTTTCCAAATTAATCCAGATTGTTACACAGCATCAGATTGAAGAGTCCTATATACAATTTGGGATTGTTCCTAAATTGTTCCATCCATCACCTTGCTGTCTAGAAATTCCATTGTGTTTTGTGGGTCTCAATAAAATTGTCTTTAACCTTTATAATGAATCAGTTATTTAAAAAGGAGAACATGCTGGGGAGCCACCTATCACCCCGCGCTGCTCCCTATGATACAGAGGCAGCAGCATGGGCAGCAGGCAGACTATGTGGAGAATCTGCCTGCTGCCCTTCTGCTTCTGTTTCAGAGGCAGTAGTGTGGGGTGGCAGCAGCCCCTGTCCGCTGGGAGCCAGAGCTTCCCTCAGACAGAGGTTTCTCCATGAGAACCAGGGTGTTATCCTCCATGTCCTGATTAAGTTCCAACTTGGACAAAATGTATTTGGTTTCAAGTGCTACAGTATTCTTTATTTCTCTACTAGAGGATTTACCTGGCATTGCTCAGATCCTTAACTCAAATATTTTTTGTTTTTCTTCATTTAAATCATTGTTCTGGGGTGGGGTTAGGAATAAGGGGTTCAATATGTAGTCTGTCCTTGGGACGGAAGACAATCCCAGCCCTATTTCACGGCAGCAGTTTGCGGCCAGGTGAGAAACGGGCACAGCCATGGGAGGGGTGCATGTCTCCCAACTGAATAACACACAGGAACCCAGACAGACAGACAGACAGACATGCTTTCTCAAATACAGAGTAGATAGCTGTGCCTTTCTCCACCCTTAACCCAATGGGGTTATAGCTGTTCCAGTCTCCATCTCTAACCTTTTGCTGCCCCCCTGTGGTCATTATGCAGTATAACTGTCCCTTTCCATTTTGAAGCAAAATGCAGGACAATGTAGCACGTTAAAGACTAACAAGATGATTTATTAGATGATGAGCTTTCGTGGGCCAGACCCACTTCCTCAGATCAAATAGTGGAAGAAAATAGTCACAACCATATATACCAAAGGATACAATTT